GTGTCTGGTTTCTTTTGCTCATTATGTTTGTGAGGTTCGTCCCTGTTATGATGTGTGGCAGTGGTTCATTATTTTTCTGTGGCGAATAGTATTCCATTGTTTCAGTATACCGCTGTGCTTGTCTGCTTTCCTTTTGATGGACATTTGGATTGATTCCAGCTTTTGGCTCTTTACAAATAATGCTGCTAAGGGAGTGCCTGGCTGGCTCAGTTGGAAGAGCATGCGACTCTCGATCTTGGGGTTGTGAGCTTGAGCCCCACACTGGGTGTAGAGATTACTTCAAAAAAAAATGAAATCTTAAAAAAACCCACAAATAATGTGGCTGTGAATATTCTTGTGCTTGTCTCCTGGTGTATATATGCTCTTTTTTTTCTAATGAGTGTAAACCTAGAGTAGAGCTACTTGGTCAAAGGACATTGTGTCTTCAACTTGGGCATATATTGTCAGACTGTTTTCCCAAGTGGTTGTACTGATTTACATTCCCTAGCAGTAAATATGCAATACTTTATTCCACATCCTGCTAACACTTGGTTTTATTCTTGTGTTGGTTTTTTTTTTTTAAAGATTTTATTTATTTATTTGACAGAGAGGGACACAGCGAGAGAGGGAACACAAGCAGGGGAAGTGGGAGAGGGAGAAGCAGGCGACATAGGGCTTGATCCCAGGACCCTGGGATCATGACCCGAGCCGAAGGCAGACGCTTAACGACTGAGCCACCCAGGCCCCCCTGTCATTGTGGTTTTAATCAATACTTGCTTAATTACAAATGAGATTGAGCCACTTTTCATATTTATTGATGGTGGATTTGTTTGAATGTCTTCTTTTTGAAGTGTTTTTTCATGTCTCCAGCCTGTTTTTCTAGTGACTGACTTTTTCATATTGGTTTTTAATTGTTACACGTACAAGATGAGTCCCTGTGGGGTTATAATTGTTTTCAGTCTCTTCTCCCCTGCTGTGTCTTGTCTTTTCACTTTTCTGGTAAGGGTGGCTCATGATTAACAGAAGTTCTCCATTTTAATGTAAGAGATAATGTAGTAGAATTTGCCAATCTTTCATGCAAAGACTTTTTTTGTGTGTCCTATTAAGAAGTCTTTCCCTGTACCATGATGACAAAATGTGCTTCTACATTATCCACGCATGTTTTCCTAATTTTACCTTTGTTATCTTCATCTAAAATTCCCCTGGCACTGATTTATTTGAAGTTTTTTAAAAGGTAGGAGGCACTTCAGCATGTTTAAATGCTCATTGAAAATATCTAGTAGCATGGAAGGTATTGAAGATACAGGAAAGAAATGATTAGAAAAAGGCTCCTGAGAAGGTAGGGGAGAATGGGATCCAAAGCAGAGATGGAGAAATTTAGTCTAGACAGAAGGAAAGACCACGGTTTGGAATGAGATGGAATGAGAACAGAGTGGTACCAGTCCACTCAGGTCTTTAGCAACAGGAAATTTCTAGTTTCCCTGTGCAGTCGCAGACACATTATCTCCTGAGTAAGGAGAGATTGGGTGGAGTCAGGGCTTGGAGAAAGCTTAAGAAAGTCATTGAAGAAATTATAGGTGAAGTTTCAGAAAATAGAGTAAATGTGATGTGCTGTTTTGAGGGTCCAGTTGAGGTTTGTAGAGATAAATTAATTTATAGTGGTACCAATTCTGTCTAATTGTGTGATATTCCTGTAGCAGTACTTGATTGCCATAGAATGTATGAAGATAGTGGGTAGTTGGGTTTGTCTAGGATTGAGATTTTGCGAGATGGGTGCCATGCAGAAATCCCATAAAAAGAGATCAGAGACTGTAGATTATTGGCAGAAGTTAGATGATTGATCAAAGACCATAAGACGGAAGGAGAGTCAATATAAGGTGGTCTGAAGAATAGGGAGAAGGCAGTGGTATTGGTGGACCAGAAGACCTAATGAAGTCAGAGAATGGATCATAATGGAAGTGGTTGAGCAAACTTGCTGGAGGATAAGGTTGTGATTTGAGAATAGAGTGCTTGAATTTGTGTCTTGTGAGGTGCAATGGTTTTGTTCAGGAAGGATATCTTTCATAATACTGATTATATAACAGATGCTTAATCACTGATGCGAATTGGGTCGATTAGACAGGTACCTATGATTCTGTTGTAGTGGACCATATGCCTGGTGTTCAGGTACATCAGAATTCAATTCCTAAACATGAAGGAATGTGGCTTGTCTTCCACTGTTAGCTTTACAAATATTAGAAATTCTAGTAGGTTATACTCATATTTATATTTAATTAATTTTGGTAAAATATTTTTTTTATGTATCATTTGCAGATGGTTTTGTTCCTGGTATTAATATTCCCAAGTTCTCCAGTGAGAGTTTTTTTTTTTAAAGTCTTACTTGTGCAGATAATTATAGGTACTGTTAAAAAAAAAACTACTAGTTTTATAATTTCAGCTTCCTGTTCACTTTCTTATAACTGATGTCTTCCAAATACTTACTTTCTACTGAAAAACAGTTTAAACAATTGTTAGACTAATGATATTAAAGAAGTGTAGTTTTCTTTTTAATTTGCTTCTTTGTGGCTTAATTCTAACACAGATACATCAAGAAATCTGGAATTTCATGAAATACACAGCACTGGGAATGAGCCACCTCTGCTGATTATGATCGGCTACAGTGATGGAATGCAGGTCTGGAGCATTCCGGTAAGTCTGGATGTGTTTGAATCCCTAAGATATAACACTGGCCAGCATGCTAGCTGATGTGAAATCTGGCCATACTTTCTGTAAGGTCTCATCCATTTATTCCACAAGCATTTGCTAAGAGGCTGCTGTTTGTGTAACACTGTGCAAGGCACAAAGAACAAGGGACAAGTGAAGGGGCAGAGGGGCTATAAATGATTTGTGATGTCCCGGCCAGGAATTGTGGGAATCAATTTACATGCAAGATCTCATTTTTTTGTCATAGTAACTCTATTGAGTAGGTATTATTATTATTATTTCCCTCCCATTTTCCAGAAGAGTAAACAAACTTACAGAAGGCTTTTTCTTTTCTTTTTTAAAATTAGCAGTCATTAAAAATCAGTGTTTTGAATTGGTTAAAACAGTCATGTGGTACAAAATTCTTGAGGTTATGAAAGGTTAAAAAACTCCCTCCCACCCTTGTTCCGCATTTCCCCTTGAGGCAACACGGATTTTTAGTTTCCTGTGTATCCTTATAGCTGTGTTTTATGCAAATAAAAACATAAATAAATTTGTTTCTGCCACCCTGCTCTCCCTAACAGATGGGAGCACATTATACAACTTAGTCTGTACCTTGCTGTGTTTTACTCATAATGTCAGTATTCAGAGAGCTTCTTCATTGAATTTTATAGCTGCATATAATCCCATTATTTGGATTTTCCTTAATTTATGTAATTTGTTCCTATATTGAAAATACTTGAATGTCTCTTTTTTCTACTATTAGACATAATGATGTAATACATGAATCTGAACAAAGGTTATTTTATGTCTGTGCATCTGTATAAGATGAATTTCAATTTTGGTAAGTGTTTAAAATTGCCTAATATTGGTCCCAGTTTTCCTCTTAAATCCTACATGTTCCTCTTTGGGATGACCTACCAAGAGGCTTGGTAGGATCACAGCTGAGTGAACTGTAATACAGATTGCATACTTTGGCTTGTCCTTACATTCTGGCCTGGCTGAAATATTAGATCTCTCCAGTAGATGGTGGGGGGGGGCGCGGAGGGGAGCTTCTGTTGTGTGGTTCTTTTGCAGTTGGAAGCTCAAGGCTATTTGTACCTTTAATAAATTTACTCACCAAATTGTTTGAAGCCCCTGGTGTATGTGTATGTGTTTCAGCTAGAATTTCTCCCCCCCTCTTTTTGGTTCTGTCCGGTAATATCATTCCTTCTTAAAAGATTTATAGAAAAACATAGTATATTATGTCAAATTTAAAGGAATTCAGGATGTTCTTGAGTACAGAATTTGGCTTCAGTGGCATAAAGATTATTAAATAAAGATCACATTGGACTTCAGAATTCTTTCATATTTTATTTTTTTTAAAAGATTTTATTTATTTATTTGACAGAGCGAGAGAGCACAAGCAGGGAGAACAGTAGAGGGAGAGGGAGAAGCAGGCTCCCCGCCAAGCAGGGAGCCTGATGCGGGGCTCGATCCCAGGACCCTGAGATCATGACCTGAGCCAAAGGCAGACACTTAACCATTTGAGCCACCCAGGCGCCCCTTTAATATTTTAAATAAAAAGTTATTTAGTCTTTGATAAGTCACTGATGATGAACTTTGGTCTTTCATCTAATCATATAATTATGTATGATATTATTAATTATTTAGGGTTAGGGTTTGTTTTTAAAGATTGGCTTTATTTTGCAGAGGTAGAAGAATCCTGGTATGTCATGAAATGAGTGTCCTCTTTCTTTTGCCTTTTGGGGTGGGTAGTTGACTTTTTTAAAAGATTTTATTTATTTATTTTGACAGAGAGAGACACAGCGAGAGAGGGAACACAAGCAGAGGGAGTGGGAGAGGGAGAAGCAGGCTTCCCGCCGAGCAGGGAGCCCGATGCGGGGCTCGATCCCAGGATCCTGGGATCATGACCTGAGCGGAAGGCAGACGCTTAACGACTGAGCCACCCAGGCGCCCCTAGTTGACATTTTTCATGGCCCTTCAATGCTGTTTGTAATTTAAGTGTCATACCGACGCATGGACAGAGGACTTAAAATTAAGCAGTGGTTTTTTTTTTCCCCCCACCACCAAGAGAAATATTTCTAGGTTGTGATCAGGGGAAAGTAAATGTAACTTTCTTATTAAGAGATACAATATTTTGATCCATTACACTGTTTGTTGACAGACTTGAAGGCAGAGGGGAAGCTAGAGCTTTAACAAGAAGCTTGAGCCTGTGTGATTAGGGTTGTTGACTGGACTGAGTACATTCCTTTGGTGGTACTCAGGCTACCCACTTGTTCCGGTTATAATTAGAGGTATCACTTTAAATAGTTTTAAAGTTAACTTGTGTTTAGCTCTGAGGGACTTAGAGGTCTTCTGAGTAATTTAAATTACTTGTTTAAAGTAATTCTTATGCCCAGATTGCATTTTGAGAGCCTCGAAGAATCTTTTCTTCATGCAATATTCATTAGCTGGTTGTTTGCTATTATAGTATTATAGCCCCGTGAGGACTGTTGCAAGAATTAGGAGGCAGTTTGGGAAAATGAGCTCCTTCTGTTGCATTGATTGTGCTCTTACTGTGTTCAAAGCATTTTATAGACACAGAATCTCATCTGTCGTACACTGTGAGGTAGAAGTTATCCTGTTTTACAGGTGGTAACGTCATACCACTTGTAAGAGGTGGAATCGGAATTCAAACCCAGTTCTATCTGACCACAAATTCAAAGCCTATGATCTCAGAGCTGTACTTCATTACTCACCAAATGTGATCGCAGAAGATATGCCATGCAAGTACTTTGGCGGTTCAGTTTTAGTTTTCATTATACAAGGTTATGGTGTGCCTTCAACTCTTCATCTCTTATAGAGTACTGTGACTGATACCCATTACTAACTAAACCCTTCCAAAACTTATCACTAGTCAGCTATTCAGTAATCACTGAAGTGTTACCATGTGCTAGACAGTGGGGAACTTACGTTGGTCAACCTAGAAATAATCCTGGCTCTTAGGGATCTTTGCAGACCATAAATCGTATTTGCTTTTGAAGTACGTGTGAGTGAGCAGAAAGTCAATCCCTATCCAAGCCAGAGCTCGTTTTTTTGCTTCAAGTTTGTGAACAGGGTTCCCTCCTCTTGATTTTATATAACCTGGGAGTCTCAGATTGAGAAAGTAAACAGATCCTGGTTACACATTTAAAAAATTATCTATTTACGAACTGCACAAATTTGAACAAGGCCCAAATGGTGTCTCGATATATGGTTAAGTGGAGTTCGCTCAGAAGCAGGACCGCCCGGAAGTAGTTGTTCTGCTGCCCAGTTCCCACCACTCTGTATATGGGGCGGCTGGAAGAAAACACCGGCCTTCCCAGCTTTCCCAGGCTGTCAGGCCCCTTATCTCAACACATCTGATGCCACATAAGAAAGCAGGATTATTTGTTGATGTTCTGGATGAACAGGCCCTTTTCCCACTCATGCCTAACAATCTCATTGCGTCTTTTTGGTAATATAAATATAGTTTCTCTTGCTTAAAATCCTTAACTTAAAAAAAATCAAGATTGTATGTGGATTAAAAATCGAATAGTTTTGTGTGATTCATATGAAAAAATAAGCAGTTCTGTACTCTTCCTTTCACAATTCCTTGAATTCTATTAGCTGTTACCAGTTTTTATTTCAGTCATTTTAATATGTCCTATGTACATTCTTGATTTTTCTTTTCTCCCAGTCTTATACATAGAATGACTTGATGCCATGAACAATGAGGACTTAAAAGGTGTTCATTATTGGGGCTCTTCGGTGGCCAGTTGGTTAAGCGTCCGACTCTTGATCTCAGCTCAGGTCTTGATCTCAGTGTCGTGGGTTCAAGCCCTGTGTTGGGCTCCACACTGGGCATGGAGCCTACTTAAAAAAAAAAAGGCATTCATTTATTCAGCACAGATCTGGGATAAAATATGTATTTTGAGCAAAACAGACATGGTGTTTGCTCTAATGGAGCTAGTAGGAAAGATGGATTTAAATAAAAATAATATACAACTTAAATTGTAATATGAAAAGAATAAGAGATCATAATAATAAGGAAGTGGCATAGAAATTAAGATTTAGCAAGGGTAAGCTTAGAACAGTAGTCAGTGGCTCTGAGGTGGAAATGTTCTTTCCTCTATGGTTGGACATTGATTTAGATTTCTTTTTTTTTTTTAAGATTTTATTTATTTATTTGACAGAGCGAGAGAGCACAAGCAGGGAGAGTGGGAGTGGGAGAGGGAGAAGCAGGCTTCCTGCCAAGCCGAGAGCCCGATGTGGGGCTCGATCCCAGGACCCTGGGACCATGACCTGAGCCTAAGGAAGACGTTTACGACTGAGTCACCCAGGTGCCCCTTGATTTAGATTTCTTAAATATTTTTTTTTCTTAAAGAGCATTGAGATAAATATCTTTATGATCATATAATTTGGAGAGATCAATAAAAGTAGATACACCAAGGCTCTTGATAGATTTACCAGATTGCATTCTTATAAAGCCATGCCACTTATATTTACCCCATTTATTTATTAATTCATTCACTCAGTGAAGATTTATTGATTGCCTTTTACAAGCCAGACCCTGTTCAAGGTGCTGGGAAAACAACAATGAGCAAAACAAAATCATTCTTCTTGCAGACTTTCCATTCTAGGTAGGTGGGGAAGATGATAATAAACAAACATGTAGCATGCTAGCTGGTAAGAAATGTTAGGGTGGGGTGGTTGATGTTGTGGTGGGTTGCTGTGTTATACAGGGTGGTCTGGAAAAGCCTCTCTCAAAGATTTTTTGAGCAGAAGTGTGGAGGAGTGATCCTTCTGGGTTTTTGAGGGAGGAGCATTAAAAGCCAGTACTCTATGCAAGGATTACATTTCCTCTATATTCAAGAACAGCAAGGGGGCAGTTCAGCTGGAGGTGGGTGGGCAAGGTGAAGAATGTTGGGGGATGATGCCTGAGAGGTGGTGGTGGGCTAGAGCTTGGTCAACCACAGATTTCAAAAGTTGTAAATACAGAGCAA